CGGCAGGTTCGGGCAGTGGCGGCACCTGCATAATAAGAGAACCCTGCTCAGGTGGGCCGGCAGGAGCCGAGGCATCCCTTATCCAGCCTGCCCCCCGCTTTTTTTTTTTTTAGTATTTTGAAGCCGCTCCCGGTTGTGTACAGTCAGCTGTGGGTTTCTTGAGGATATGCCTCCTTGTGGCTGCTGGCTGATTCTGGAACAAAGCAGCCAGGGCTCCCTCCCGTTTAAGCAGGTCCAAACCACTTCTCCCCCAACTTAGCAGCTCCTTTTCAACGTTTCTAGTCCTCAGTAAGGCAACAACCAACCACTGGGTTTCCTTCCGGTTTCAGACAGATGGGTTTGTTTTTTTTTTGTTTTTTTGCCCCTCCTTTCTTGCAGTCTCACTTCTCAAAAAAATATTTCCAAAAGACAACCGTCTTGCAAATGGAGAGATGCCTGCCTTACTTGTCTCTTGGTTCCAAAAAAGGAAGGGCGCAAGGAAAGGGAAATTTCTTTTTTTTTTAAAAAAAACAACAACCCTGCAATCATCTTTTTTTTTTTTTTTTTGCAAAAGCAGGAGAGAATATATTGTAATGATAAGGAGCCTATATCAAGGTTAGAAGTTGGACGATTAAAAACTGTACATGTATAAATTGTATTCGAATTGTTAGCATTGTGTGAAAAATATATTGAGCCAGTCACTACACTGTCCAAAAAAGACGTGGGTTGTTTAAGGAAAACTACAAATACGATATTATAAGGAAAGGGAAATTTCTTTTTTAAAACCCCCCACAATTTTCTTTTTTTACAAAAACAGGAGAGAAATAAGAACTATTTTCCCCCCTCTCTTTCCTGCTTGTTCAGCTAAGTCCAGCGTGCAGGTAAGAACTACGCAGCCCATCCCAACCGCCCCACCACCCCAAAAAACTCCCCAACTCTCCAGGATTTCGCTTAATCGAAGCCAATCCTATTCCGATTCATTTTCAACTCCCCGTTTGAAAATAAAAAACCCAGTTAAATTGGTTTGGAGCACGGAGAGGGTTGCCGATTGATCATTAACTTTTCTAAACACCGGGTTGCTTCATTTATTTGAGCCAGGTGAGTATGCAAGAGATCAGAAAAAAACAAAACAAAATTAAATTAAAAATAAATGCAGCACCATGACGGGTTTTCCTGCCTTCATTTTTATTTTTGTCCACTTGTCGAGTGTCTAAAAGCCTTGCACATCCCCCTTTTTTTCATTCAGCGGTTGTTCCGGCCTTTGCTCTCTGCTAGCTAATAAGGTGTGGCTGATTAAATTCAGGTGATTCTCTCTTCTTCCCTTTTACCTGGAAGATTTGCATGTTTGACCTGGCGAAGTAATTGGGCCTGGCAGCAGCCTGGGCGTGCCCAAAGACTGTTTCACATATGACTCACAAGCTGTAACACACAGGCACCCACTTCCCCAATCCGCAGAAGCCATTTTAAACTACACACACACACACACACACACACACACACACACACACACACACCAGTGCTTGGCTTTGTAGGTGCCGTCTTAATTTTGGGGGATCTCTGCCAGCCACGAGCAAGGTAATTGATTCAATTTCAGTGAAATTTTCGAGAACTTTGGCGGGTGGATTCTGGGGGAGGATTAGGCGCATGCTGAGTTTTTTTAGTTAAAATAAAAAATAAAAAACACACAGATACACACCCCCGGGTGTGTGCCTTTTTGCGTCCTAGGCTTAGTTGCATTTTAAGAAAGCGATGCGGGAACAGAGAATGTTTTCCGGAATATGTTTCCATTTCTCCTTTTAAATTTTCCTTCGCTCTAAACATTTTGTTTAGGAGTGTCGATAGAGAGAAAAAAATTCAAAAAAGAAAAAAAGTTAGCTGAGTTAATTCCATTTTTTTTTTTTTAATGAAAACAGGTTTAGGAAGACCTGTCAGTTTAACTAATCACCGGTACAACTAAAACATAGATAATGTATTATTAGGCTTTTTGAATTGAGAAGAAGGAAACAGAGAAAAGTGGAATAAAGTCGGTGCTGTGGAATCGAAATAAATGCGTTTTAGGCTTAAAGCTATATCTTCTAACTGGAGGTAAAGAATATTCCTTGCATGTTGTGGTTTCGAAGCGTGGGATAGCTTCTGCTGGCCCATCGGTACAAAATATTTGGATGATTTATTTGAGAATGTGTGTCTTTCTGCCAAACATGTTTGCTGTAATTCCTTGTTGTTCCTTGCGGTTGACTTATTCAGTATGGCTGCTGTTGCTTAATACCGGCTATGACATCTTGCTAGGGTTCATGGCTTGGAGAGGTTTTGTGGAGACCCGTTGCCAAAGTTTTGGGCTGTGACTTCAGTTGTCAAATGCTGCCTGAAGGAGTTTTCTTTTCGTAGGGGGAAAGAAGGAGGAAGAGAAGGGACTGGAAATGTCTCTCTCTGTCTCATGATTTCAACCTGCCCTCCCTCCCAAAACCTCTAAATTCAGCTTTCACCCACCTGGTCCACTCCAGAACCAAGATTGCACCCTACAATGTATTAATCTAGTTTTTTTTTTCCTGCTGCCTTGAGATAGGATGGTGTTATGTTCCATTTGAAGGATGCGAGATAGAGGAAGATGGTGATAAAAGGACTGAAGGACTGTCGAGGTTTTGCTCCCTCTTGCAATTTATGCAAGGTTTCTTTGAGAAAGATTGGCCATTAATTTCGTTTTCTCATGAAAAACAAAACTTACTCAACTTTTAAAAACTTCATTGGATTTCCCAAAATTGCGCTCGTGCTGCCAGGGAATAGCTGGCAAGTAATATTGTCGGTGTTTGTGTAAAAATACATTGGCCTTGCTCACTGTACTGTTAGAGCTATTTACAATTATCCATTCTGAACAGAGTGTATTTCTCGGCCTTAGATAATGCTCTTGAATTATGGGTAAAAAAAAAAAAAAGGTTTTCAGCAGCTTTTAAAAAAACAAGATTTTAAGCAGTAGTGCTCCCTAGATTGAGGAGTTTGAATGGAAAATAACAGTAACTTAGTTAGAATTTAAATATTGAAGTATTGAACTCCTTGTTTCTGCTCAGGATTGGAAAATATATTGCTATTAACTGGATTTACAAGCCGGCTATTTTAACAGCAGATTTTATCAGTAGCGAATTTGTCTCAAAAGTGATTAGATTTAATAAATAATTGAGGATAGTAGGTGCAGTTGAGTCTGGTGGAGGATGAAGGCTGTTGGGGCATGTCAAAAGTATTTTGTTTTGCATTACTGCTGCTTGATGAATTGAATGGCCTATTGAAGTCCTGTCATTGTTTTCTTCTGCTCCTGAAGTCAATGAATGGAAGGCAGATCTGATCCTGAATATGTTTAATTCTTGTCCCGGAGTGACTTTTTCTTGGAATCAAAAATTTGCGAATACGGAAAACTTAATAGCTATCCTCTTGATTACTTGTGTGACAATTCAGGGTTTATTCAATTTAGGGCAGAGTCACTTTCATTTAGAGTGAGGTATAATGTGATTTAGTTCCTGCATTTCTTTCACTCTGAATTAGTCATTTTTATAATTAACAACGTAATTGTTGACAATAGAAGGCTTTAATTCTGAACTGTCGAAAAATATGCAGGTAGCCCTGACCACAACTGAGCCCAAAATTTATGTTGTTAAGGGAGACATTTGTTAAGTGAGTTTTGCCTCAGGTTATGACCTTTCCGGCCACAGTTGTTAAGTGAATTGCTGCCATTGTTACATTAGTCACGCGATTGTTTAGTGAATCTGGCTCCCCCATGGATTTTGCTTGTTGGAAGGACTCAAAAACGTGACCTTGGGACACTGCAGTGGTCTTAAATCTGAACAAACTGCCAAGCATCTGAATTTTGACCACGGGGGATGCTGCAACGGTCATAAATGTGGAAAAACGGCCTTAAGTCCCTTTTGTCAGTGTCGTTCCAATGGTCACTAAATGAATTGTTGTCAGTCGAGGGCTACCTGTCTTGAAAGGTTTAAAAAAGAACACTGTGGACCTTGGAAAGCCCCTGGAGACTGAGGCATAGCGAGCATGAGGTGCGCTACCTGGAGAACAAGAGTTGCATGGTCCTCACGATGCTTTAGAACAAGGGTCTTCAAACTTGGCATGCATTAAAAATGAAATGGGGCACGCCATTCGGAGAAAGGCAGATATAATTTGGAGAGCGGTCCTTGGGGCTCTCTGAGCTTGGTGGTTTTCTTGCAGATGTTTCATTACCCAGGTAGCACATCAGCAACATCAATGCTGGAAGGGAGTGGGGTTCGCGGTGCAGAAGGGGAGGAGGAGGAAGGAGACGGGAAGAAAGGAGGAGGAGGAGAAAGAGGACTATGGGATCCTTGGCGCTCTCTGAGCTTGCTGGTTTTTTTGCAGATGTTTCACTACCCAAACTAGGGAACGTCATCAGTGCTAGAAGGGAGCGGGGTTGCGGGGAAGAAGAGGAGGTGGAAGTGGAAGAGGAGGAAGAATAGGACTTGGGGATCCCTGGTGTTCTCTGAGCTTGGTTGTCCTCTTGCAGATGTTTCATTATCCAAACTAGGGAACACTATTAGTGTTAGAAAGGAGGAGGAGGAGGACGAACAGGAGGACCGTGGGGACCTTGGTGCTCTCTGAGCTTGGTTGGTTTCTTGAAGACATTTCATTACCCAAACTAGGGAACATCATCAGTGCTAGAAGGGAGGAGGAGGAGGAAGAGGAGGAGGAGGAGGACGACAATTGTGGGGTCCTTAGTGCTCTCTTAGCTTGGTAGTTTTCCGGCAGACTTTTCATTACCCAAACTGGGGAACATCACCAGTGCGAGTGACTGGCATTGACTAGCCCTGTTGATATTACCTAGTTTGAGCAATGAAACATCTGCAAGAAAACAACCAAGCTCAGAGAACATTAAGGATCCTTCTCATTTCAACCCTGAACTAGAAATATTCTCCTTTACGGGCGCTTTGGAGAGCCAGGCTGATGGGCCTTGAGAAGAAGACCTGGGGTGGCCTACATGTGCCTCTCGTAAGGTAGGCCTGGTGTACCTCTCCAACAGCAGGAGGACAACGTTGAAGGCCAGCTGGCCACTGATGGGGCTGTGGAACTCAAGTTGGCTGGGACTTTGGGTTGTGATGGCCGGTCTTGGCACGGGACTTGAGGTGGCACTCAAAAGAAGTACCGGTCTGGAGGCAATGATGGCCATCTGAGGCTCCTGAAGGCTGCTGCAGGACCCTTCCAGGAATGCCAGTGAGGAGGGTTGGGCAAGGGCAGAGATGGGTGGCAAGTAGAGGTGAAAACAACCGAGGGAACATTAAGGAACATCTCCTCATTTCAACCCTGACCTGCAAATATTCTCCTTTTCTGGCCCTTGGGAGAACCGGGGAGGCGGGCCTTGAGGAGAAGGCCTGGGCTGCAAGGCATAAAAGTGAGGACGTGAGAGGGAAAGAGGTGGTCCGTCCTTACTTGAGACTCTGGGCTGGGGAGGGAGCAAACAGGAATGGTTTGGTTCATGGTAGGCTTACCAACCCGCTCGTCTTGGGGTTACAGTGGCAGTTGGACTGCTCCAGATTGACCCAGCCAAGTGACACAGTCGTGTGACATCACGTTATAACTGTCTTGCTTAACCATGGAAATTCCCGTCCCAATTCCCATCGTAAGTCAAGAATTGCCTGCGGAGCGTGTGAGAGGAACCCAGTAATATCTTTCTGCGGAGCGACGTTACGACTTGGCTATCAACCACGATTGAGTCTTTGCACTAATTGCTATGGAAGCATTGACAAACCATTTTGGAACCATTGACTTTTCTGATCTTTTCCCCATTGAGCAGGGCTGAATCACACTAGAGAAAGTTGGCTTTGCTCAACTGTAAATTGTTGGTTATAGAATTTTAAAAAAAAAGAAACGGATATGTCCATAAAGAGTCAAAGTGGCCAGTTTTGAAGGTCATATTCACTGTTGCACAAGCTTGTTGTGACTTTGGGCCACAGTTAGTGTTTTGAATTCTTGGGGGAAAGGCAGGATATTAATCTAAAATAACAATTAAGAGAAATAAACACCACCTGGTGAATTACGCCTTTAATCTGAAAATAACCATTTTAAATCGAAACAGAGCTGACCTTGGTGATTTCAGCCTGGTTATGAATTCCGTGCCAAGAATTCAGGTATCAACAGGTTTTTAACCTCTTCCCATATAAATTTATTTTTCATATTGAATGCAAATCCGGACATACAGAGGATCAAACATTTGATTTTTCAGGCAGGGATTTGAATTTTAATTCAAATTCGCACTATGACGTAGAAATAGGCCAGGCAACCCGTTCCAAGAGTCTTCCTAGAATTCTTTGTTTCTTTATTAAATGTGTTTGCTGTGCATCCCATTTCTAGGTGTGCTCTCAGTATTTCTCTGAATCTGCAATCTTACAGGGTTGTAATGAGATTTATAAGAATAAAATACAGTTCATATTTGAAAATGCTATAGAATATGCATTGTTACCAGAATTCATCTTATCAGTTTTTCCTCCCCTTATTAATAAACTCTGCTATCCCCGTTTCTGCTTTTAGCCTATAGTACATTTCATCTGCTTAAAAACACAGCTATAACAAACAGTAGAAAATTGGTTTCCCCAAGTATATTTCCATTTGTCTTTGTAATGGAGGTGAATCATGAAGGTTGGAATACAGTTCTGTCTGAGATCCCTGCTGAATCACTGCAAATAAAATATAGAGAGCTGTGGTGAAAATCTGAGTTTTTATGCATTAGGAGCCCAGGTTGTTATTACATATTTGAATCCTAGAATAGAAGTAATATCGGCAGTTATTAAAACCCAAACCAGCACCTCAAAACTCATTTTAAAAGTGCTTGTTTTTGTTTTGTTTTTTGACAAATATTTTTTCAGCGAAAGGGGCAGAAAAATGACTTGATTTTCTGTTTTATTTTTTTCAAGAATGCCACTGAGTGTTTTCTTCAATATGCATGCTAGCTATTCCTATAATCGGAGCCCGCCTGTTGAGATGACCTTTGGTTTAGAGACTGCGGAGACAGTACAGTGTAAATATTAGGGGAAGTCTTAATTCTCTGGAAGTGGAAGTTGTTTTTGTCCGCGGAGAACGAGAGCAAAAATGAAACGCCGGTGGTCAATCAAAATTGGTTGGTGCAAAATATATATATTTTTTTTCCTGCAAAAAAAAAAAAGTCACCAGGTTGCTTCCAAATGCAAAAAAAAAAGAAATGTTTTTTTTTTATCTCATCATCTTTAAAATGATCTTTGCTTCTGTGGAAGTTGGTTGTTTAAAGTTAGCTGGGGTTTTTTTTCTCTCCTCCCTCTCGTTGAACCCACAGCTCATTTTTTTGCAATAAAACTGACTAACCCAGCTGTTCCTTTTTGGAGCCTAGTTTCATTTCTCCTTCCTATGATTTGCAAAAGTCCTTTGAGCAACCCCCTTTTGCAAGATCAACAACTCGGTGACAATCGGTCTCATGTTCTGGAGATACAAGTTGGTAGAAAATAGCAGTTTTTTTTAGTTCCAAAAGGGCTTTTTTACCCAAGGCTGGGGAAGAAATGCATGGGGAATAATGCAGATACAATCCAGATTGGAACCCAGGAGGTGTCAGGTTTGGAAATACCATTTTAATTTAATTTATTAATTATTTTTATTTTACTTTGTTTTATTTTAAGTAAAATAAAATAAAATAAGCAAACAGGACTATCAAACAATGTAGTCCAAGTTTTGGAATTGTTCTACTTCTAAAATAATCTTAAGTCTTTTTTATTTTATTTTTATAGTTTGGTATACACCAGGTACTCTTGGCCTTGCAACAGTTCCTTTAGTTATTTTTTATTTATTTATTTATTTTCTCAAAAGCTTACAAAACAATAGAAATAAGAATAAACATAAGTTTAAATATAAGAAATAGGAACTGATAATTGGGGACAATAGGACAGGAGCCGTGGGCACGATTGTGCACTTATGCACGCCCCTTACAGACCTCTTAGGAATGAGATGAAGTCAATAGAGGTTGGTTTGTGACCCTTCGAAGTTAAAACGGCGCTGAAAAAATGTGACATGACCATTTTTCACAGTTACGACTGTTGCAGCATCCTTATGATCACATGATCAAAATCCAGAGCCTTGGCAACTGGCATGTACTCATGACGGTTTCAGTGCTTTCCCCTTTTACGATCTTCTGACGAGCAAAGTCAATGGGAGAAGCTAAATTCAGTTAACAACCATGTTGCTAACTTATCAATTGCAATGATTCACTTAACAACTGCGGCAAGAAAGGTCATAAAATGGGGCAAACCTCACTTAACAGATGTCTCACTTAACAACAGAAATTTTAGGCTCAATTGTGGTCATACATCGAGGACTACCCATACTTATCCATCCATTGGAACTGAGTAGCCAATACTACTATTAATAATAAGTTGTTTTATTAGTTACTTACTTCATTAGTGCGCATTATAATAAATAAACAAAGGAAACGGAAGGGAAACAATGACTCTCTGCCCTAAAACACATACAACTACTCTTTCGTAATCAAATACTTTGGTTCACAGAGAATAATTTGACATGAATGTGCATGGAAGTATATTTTATGGGTTTTGTGGCGACGTGAAGAATGACTGATCTTTTCTGTTTAGAAATAGAAAAACCCAATTAATAAGATTTTGAAAATGTACAGTTAACAATACCTTTGCAAAGTAACCAGATTTAGTCAAGATGCTGGACAGAGGACAAGAAAAATAAACTAGCAACTAACTACAATCTTAAAGATCATTATTCTGCTTGTTTTCTATGTGAAATACCTGCATTATTTGCAGCTTATATGGGATGGCAGTTCAGCAGATAATAATATGAATTTTAACAATGCCTAAAATGCTGCTCATCACTTTGCTAAACAAATAATTCCCTCAACACTGTCCAACTATTTACAAAGTCTGCACTACTATTACTATTAATCTTCTCATCACTCCTTATCACCCATCCCCTCCCACTTGTGACTGTATGACTGTCACTTTGTCACTTGTATCCTTACGATTTATATGGACTGTCTCCTAGTATGATTTGATTGCTTATTGTACTCTATGACTATTAAGTCTTGTGCCTGATGATTCTTGACAAATGTATCTTTTCTTTTATGTACCCTTAGAGCATTTGCACCAAGACAAATTCCTTGTGTGTCCAACCACACTTGGCCAATAAAGAATTCATTCATTCATTCATTCATTCATTCATTCATTCATCCATCCATTCTATCTATCTATCTATCTATCTATCTATCTATCTATCTATCTATCT